CTCATATAAATGTGAAATAAATGAAATTTAGAGGCCTATTACTGAATTTTTCAGGGAATTAAAAAAACTATTCTAGGAGATTTTTAGATCTCTAAACGAATGGTAGAGCCTCATGGCCTTAAAAAAATCAATAGCTTTTGAAGCCTTGCTTCTAATAATTTGTAATATTCTCGAAGGTGCCATAAGTTGAATTTGAAATTTATCATAGTTTAATTAGCAGCCATTAAAGACTTGCCCTGATTGGAGACTGGGGCATTTTATATTTCTCTTTCGACTCAGTTCTGCATCCTTTATAGTTTCTTCAGGTATTAGGCTAAACCATATGAAATTACCATTTCGTAGGTAAAAGGTAACAAAAGTTCAATGTCATACAGTTCAGACTATTGGGGGGGGAGAAGGCAAAAGTAGATTTACAGTTTGTATGGAAAATACTACAGTAATTAATAAATAATAACAAGAATAAACATTATGTTTTGCATACTGTAAACCCACTTTTGCCCCACCCTGTCTATAAAACAAGGAAATCAATATAGAATACAAGACTTTTCTTGTGCTTAAACACTCCAGTTCATCGACTAATATAATTTTCACATTCTTCCCTTTAAAAAATATTGTTGAGTGCCCATATATTCCAGGCACTGTTTTAGGTACTTTGGATACACCAGTAGCCCTAACATGTAAAGATGACTTCCTTAATGGAACTAGCAGAGTGAGGGATGTACACATAATCAATACAATACGGTATGATAGAAAGTGGGGAATGCTACAGGAAAAAGGGAACACATAGCAGGCATGCAGGGCTGTGGAAGGGACATGCCACAGTGTTCACTGTGGTCGCCAGGAGAGCCTTGGGTGGGAAGGTGATATGTGACCAGAGGCTTCGTGGAGGAAAGGAGATATACCTCCATCATTCATTCCTAAAGAGTAAAGAGTGATTTGCAGACACACAGACCCATACATCTAGGGAATGAATTCCAGCTCTTCCAGAAGAGCCACCAGCGTAAGCTAACCGAATCTGGGGACATAGTTAAATCTGATTCTTATAGATCAGGATGTAAAAAGAAGCAGATGCCACAGAGGGGCAGAGGCAGACTGTCTCAGCAAAGTGAGAAAAAGAAGTGTGAAGTTGATTTCTGTTTACTTCTGTGTTCCCTCCACTATAATTGAAGTTCCTGAAGGAAGAAATTTTTTATCCCAATTCCTAGAACCTGTCAAGTGTCTGAAATATATGTCAGTGTGTCATCGAAATTGGGAAAATGAGCTGATGAATGGTGCTAAGCCAATATCTAGAATATTATCAAAGAGAGGAAGGGTGAAAAAAGACTGCACTTTAGGCTCAGGTGTAAATATGAATAACTTAAAAAAATCATGAAAGTCTCTCAATTATCTGTCATCTTACATTCTTAGGATATAACATCCTTAAAGGCCGGAATTATATTTTACGCATTGTGCTTATTTTAAATGGACATCTTAAAGTAATAGTTCACCACTAACAAATGGAAAAAAGAAAAAGAATATACCAGCACGTTCTCATGGAATAAACCAGGTATCCCAAATGTTAAATGGCTCCCAAAGAGTATTAAATATTTATGGAAGCTGCACTGTATTTTTTAGATTGACCAGAACTAGCATGTGTGCTTTATGAGATCTTAATAAATGTGATTCATGTTTCAAGAAATGACAGTCGTATACATCATTTTTTTTTGTGCTTAGAAGTGAGCAACTGATGACAGTATATTAAAACAACCCATTTGCTTTGAAAAATAACCTTAGTGTTTAAAATCGTGTAAGAAAAATGGACATTTAACAGAATGGTTTGTTTAAAGGGACACTTTTTGGAAGAGAGCAGTATCCTAACCAGCATGTAGGATTCACTGAGACCTGCAATCTTTTGCAACTATTACTTAGGGTAATCATTTTTTTTAAATATGATTTATTTTTTTTTATAGCTGGGGGCAGAGAACAGTTGTGGTGGCAGCAACTGCATTTTGGACATCCGAAGAGGCAATATGGCCTGACCTGTATATGAGTCATACGAACTGACGGTCAAAAAAACACTTTAGAAAGGAAATAAAAACAATAAAACATCAAGGTCAAGATCCTAGTCACAATTTTTTATTGAGTAGCTCAGAAGATTTTAACAAATATTGCACTTCCCAGTGGTTGTTTTGAGTGTTTTTTGTTTTTGTTTTTTTAAAAATTTTACCTGTGCTTTCAATTTTCTGGCTTCATTGTTTTGGGGAATCCTAAGTAAGTTCACATTATCTGCATCTAGGAGGAAGCTTAGGAGGCCAATTCAATTCAGTTGTCTGATTTCTTCTTTTAAATTTTATTAAATTAATTGGGGTGACACAGATCATTAAAATTATACAGTTTTCAAGTGTACCATTCTTTAATACATCGTCTGTATATTACATTTTGTGTTCACCAACCAAAGTCAAGCCTCTTCATTAGTCACTCTTGATCCCCTTTACTCTTTCTACCTCCTCTCCACCCCTTCCCCCCGCCCCCAGATAACCACCATCCAGTTGTCTGTGTCTATGAGTTTTTGTTGATTTCGGTTTTATATTCCACACATCAGTGAAATCCTATGGTTCCTTGACTTTTTTCACCTGATTTCGCTTAGCACGATATTCTCCAGATTCATCCACTTTGTTGCAAATAGCAATATTTCATCTTTTCTGATGCAATTGCCCGATTTCATGCTTGCAGAAAGAATGATGCCAGGGATGACAGAATGCCTGCTGTATGATCATTGAGTTCAGGTTCAACAAGATAGGTTCACAGAAGGGCAGTCATGCTTGATTCATCTGATTGCCAGACTGGAAATGAAAGATCAGTTACATCATTACCCCACATTCTTCATCCCTCCAGTACATTACATCACAAATATTAAGCAAAGCTCGTTCTCAGAATGATTCCAAAGCACTTAGAGGGGAATATCTGCTTTTGCAAACAAAAGAAAGATTACAAAATCAAAGACAAAGGATTTTTCTAGAATCTGTTTTGTTTGCTAACAGAGTGGGGGTGAGTGTGGAAAGAAAGTCACTTGGTGATAGAAGAAAAGAAGGGGGCCTGAGTCAGGAAACTGGGATGGTGTCTCTACAGGATCTCCACTCAGCTTGGTGGCCTTCATCAGGTTCCCTGGGCTTCAGCTCTTCTGACCATGAAACAAAGGATGTGGAACAGACTGAGTGGTGTTCATGAATTCAGGATACGCACAGAGACGCGGAGTAGCAGGATCCATCTCCTATAGAAGAACCATAATTTGAATATTTGTGAAAGCAAAATTAGCTGATGATCAAAAAATGGAGAAGAAAGTCTGCTAATGGAGAATGCAGATTTGTTCTAATGCATTTAAATTATAATATAAACCTGAGACAGTTCTTTCCAGAAGAGAAGAATGAAGCATCAAAGTTCTCTAAATTGACTCTACTGTAATCTTTTTTTCTTTTTTTCTATCATCACCTTATTTTTCTCCATACTTTCTGTTTCCAGTAACCATGGTGATACACCCTCCCAGCAACCTTTTTTACAGCCGGCCCTTTTGGTACACATTGAATTTGCTTCTATTCACTGATTCAGGGAGCTAACGATGCTGCACAAATTAATTAATTTATTAACATTTTCCCCATTCCTCCTGACCAGGAAATAAATGCAGAGATTTATTCCACATTTAACCTCCCTACATAAAGGGCACTGTAAAACAGGGATATTCAATGGTTAATTTCAGTCGCTAACATAAAGGGGATGCTGATTATGCCAGAGATTTAATTCCCTGCGTTGGCCCTCAGGGACTGTAAAGTCCCAGGACTGAAGCTCGTTGCCACCTTCTTTAGCTCTTGTGTTTGAACAGAAAGAAATTGATTGCCCACAGAAGTTACAGATCAACGTTGATTTTCTAATGCTCTGTTTTTTGCTGCATTCTCCCTTGTAAGGAAGACATTTCCAAGTGCGTAATTATCAGACTTACAAGGGGACTGATTTTTTTCACAAGAAAATATACGTAAGGATACGCATGTTTCTATTGAGCCTGATTATTCCTTTTTGAATATAAATAAGCAATATGCAATACTCAGTTTTAAAGTATTGTGATTACCTGTCAATGACAATGAAAGAATCTCTGTTGTCATTGATGCAGATAATAAAAATTCCTGTAAACTGTCATTTAGTCACGTCCAGTTTGTGGAACCTAACTTATTTGTAATCCTATATGCCGGAAAACCGCCTCTCTGCTTAAGCACTCTGTGTGTGTGTGCGCGTGTGTGTCTGGCATTAGCACAAAGGAGACCAGATGATGCTTATAGACTAGACTCCTGGGGACACACTTGGATGGAGGCAATTAAAATGCCCGTCAGGCATTTGGTACCAGAAGCCCCTACGGCAAACCACTGAATCAGAAGCCAGGGCTGCACCTTATTGTCAGTGAATGATGGCGGAGCTGGGTGGCTTGTCATCATTCTCGAAAATTCTGAGGCTAGTGAGCTCTCTCTCCCTCTCCCACTCGCCTTATTTTCCTTTTCGCCACTGCGGGGACTTTTTCTAATTTGCAGCTCCCCTTTCCCTGATACACACAGGCAGGAGCGGGTGGCTTGCAGACTGCAGTCTGTCTGGAGCTACAGAGCCAGAGCTAGAGCCAGCCCGCGAGGATAATGCTCCCGGAGAAGGATTCCGCAGCAGCAGCCCTTAAAGGCTAGACTGGGGTGGTATCGCGGCATAAGCACTGGTAATGGTTTTGGGGGTTTAAATTTTTATTTTGTTTTATTTGTAATCTGTTTTCCAAGGGATCTGTTTTATGTGATCTCACAGTAAAATGCTTTAAAATTCATTACTGGGCTTCCTAAAAATTCAAGTACTGCATTGTTTGCACTACAGATCTCAAGACATAGATTTATTGTCTGGATGTAAAGAGTGCATTTGCTTACCGGTGAGTTACAATTTTCAATATTTAGTTGACAAATCTATATATGTATTTTTTTCCTTTTGTTTTGTTCCGGTAGATTCTTCAGTTTGTTGTCTCTAACCGAGGAAACATTCATTGGGAACCACTCATTCAGAAAATTAAAAGGTACCACATGTTTCGTTCGGATGTTTAAATCAGGGAAAATCAAGGAGGAATTGGAATGTTTTTATTTGAAGTAATCTCTCTGTGGCTGGTCTTTTATCCTTAAGCATACATTGATCATTGTCTATAGAATGTGTGATTTCCTAGGCAGAGAAAGCCATTATCCAAGGCTGTTTTGATTAGATATCTAAAGAACTGTATCTTTTGCCAGCATTGCAAGTTATTAACAAATATTACTATGTCTGACTTATTGTTGGTTTTTTTCATAATGGCTTAAAGAATGTACAAAATTCTCTATGTTAATAAAAATTCAATAATTTGAATTTAAGGGAAATATATTAAGTATTGATTTTATCTGAGGAAATCCTGCTAAGAAGTGATTTTTTTTTTTTTAAAGAAGCTAAATGAACTGGCTTGCCCTTCTCAGGTAGAATGGGCGCTAGATAAGAAAGCCCAGGAATGACTCAGTATTGTTGGGTTTTGCGAATAAAAAGCTTGTAACTTCTTCATGATACTTTAGCAGCAGTTAATATTTAAAGGCTAAGATTGTTTGTTATTAAAAGCACTGATTTTATATACACTTTATTTTGCAATGACAGCATATGAAGGTAATCCTTCATCTTGCCATGAAAGCAGTTTAATCCATTGAACCTGGGCCTTATGCCTTATGGGAAAAATATTAATTTTCAAATTCAGCATCAGGATGTATATTGATTGGAGATGGCAAGTTTCTTTAAGGTTATCTTTGACTTTAACATATACTTCTGTCAATAAAACCTTCATTTGTAATTTGGCTTTAAAAAAATGGAGGACATTTTCTGAATTGCTGAGAAGAAGATCAATAACGTCACTAAAGCCTTCCCTTGGCATTCACATAGTATTTTCCCTCAAGACTATCTGTCCAAAATATTTTACTCAGTAAGGTTAGTTTTCTTTTTTTTTTTTATTATACTTAAAAAATGGCTAGTGTTCAACTACTGATCTTACAATATCAGAAGTGAGCTTACACCTGTGAGCATGAATATTTGCGGCAGTTGAGAGACTAGTGCATTGTTCTTGTTTAATATTATCTGCAATGTGTAATTATAAGAACCTTAATTTATTCATTCCACAAACACTTAGTAAAAGCCTCGCTTCTGTGGGTGGTTATTGTGGGAGAGGGGGGAGGGGCAGATGTCACTGTCACCGCCCTTCCAAAGTGGAGGCAGCATCATATACTATTTTTTGCACAAGAAAATGAATTTTTTTAAATAAAGCACTGTGCTCTAAAAAAAGGAAATTGCATTGTTTCAGATATTGAGCAAAGTCTAATAGACTAGTCTATTAGATTCCTTTCATGTATTCAGAGATACATGAAATATATTGCACTGTTTCCTCAGAAATTATTCAGTGGAATCATGTATGAAATCCCCAAACAGGACTTGTTACTTCCCCTGAATATTGTAAAACCCTTGAAACCATACTTTTATTTGCTTTCACTCACAGTAAGTGAAAATATTTTTTGTTTGATTAAAAGCCTCATCTATTCGCTCTTTTCCGATCTAACTAAATCCATACAGTACATATTTTATATGAGAATCTGTATCCAAATCCTCAGACTCATTAGGAAATAATTACATTAATTTTGAACTCTGGGGTATTTAGAGGAATTGGAAAAGGATGAAGTTATTATTTATCCACCAAAAAAAGAGTCTTCACTATACTGTCAATAAGAACTGGAACTAGAGAAGTGACATATTACCTCACCAAGAGCCTCTTGGTCCCTGAGTTTTCTAGCATCATTTAAAAATTTACCTAGGTGTGTGTTGACAGATTTTATGTAATAAACTAGAGTTTATTCAAATAGTCTGTTACATTGTCAAATAAGAATAAAATTTGAATACTGCACTCTAAGAGAGTCAGGGATCTGGATCATGGTTTTTCTAACCAATGACGTCTGTCTGGGCATTAGTTTGGGCACTGAATTGTTTTATTGATTTTTCACTTGTACCTTCAGCACATAGCATAATGTCTTGAGTGCAGTAGTTCAATCGATATTTATTTATTTGATGAATAAATAAATTTGATGGGAAAATCTGCATTTTCCCCCATTACTTTTTTGTTCTTTTTTTGTCATGAGATTACGCACTATAAAACAGACATTTAGCACTTTTTTTCAGTTACCCAAAATGTTCATTATAAATCCCTAATTTATGGTAATGAATAGATAATACCAGGTGCAAAAGCAGGCAAACCATGTGTAAAAATTTCTCCAGGCTCTATGGAAAAGAATTTTTCTGGTTTTAGGTTAAGATGGAAAGAATTTTTGAAATGTCCCTTTCACTTTCATCAGCTGGGGAAAGAGCCCAAACTGCAGCATGAGTTTTGCTTTATGGACACTTCCTAAATATCCCAGGAATGACATTGTTTACTGCTCTTCCCGGCTTCAGCCAAGCTTTTGCTGCAGCAGAGGGGAGGAGGCCATTGCTCTCTCTCTCCTTCTAAATGTACCACTAGAAATGATGTCATAGCCTTCTTAAACACATTCATGCTCATTATGGACTACTTAAGTATGACATCATTTGATAAATGTATATTTAAGAAACTTACAAAGAAGCTTCTAGAATCATCATAGCTTTAGGGGAACCTATTTTTTCTGGTTGTAATTTATCTTTATTAATAAAACTATAATTTTTGTTGACAATGTGCCAGATAATATTCTAAGCCCTTAGTACACGTTTTCTCATTTTAACTCTCGCTGCAATCCTGGGAAGTGAGCATGGTGTCCGTTTTACAGATGAATGAACTGAGACTCCAGTTGGGCAGTCAACACAAGGCTGGCCCAGAGTCCTTCATACTAACCACAATGCACTGCATTTTTTTGTAGTAAGTTTTTGGCTCATAGTCCTTGTTTGAATGTTTCATTCGTGCACATGATATATATGTTGCTGCAATAAGGTTAAAATGGTATTCTTGTAGATTCTTGTTTTTAAATACATGATGAAGAGGTAAATATATCTTCAAATACTTCACTATAATATTCAAGCTCTGGTATAGTTTATGTTTTTAATATATATTTTCTATTTTACCTGAGGAGCTTTCTTCTTTAAGAAGTAATGTCAGAGATAAATGAGGAAGTTTTAAAATGAACTAATAAAGCATATTAATAAAGTGAATTATTAATAAAATGAATTAATAAAGGCATATCCTATGTCATTACAATGAAGTTACATTACTGAACTCTGTATCTATGTAAGAAAATTAGCCAGAGAATTCAGGTGCTAGATAGCATAACAGATGCCATGTCTTGCAAGAGGTTTTTTGGGTTTTTTCTGTCTTTGTAATTTAAATGACAAAGGAATTTTCAAATGGCTAAAATAATAAAAAAGCAGGGAACAGTGTCATGAACAGTGATAAAATACCACATTCAAACTTAAGTTAAACTTACTAACCCAGAAAAATAACTGATGACACTAACAATTACACAAATACAGATTAAGATGTTTCCTTGCAAAGGAATATATACAACAAAACACTTTTGGAGCTCAGTGGGTAGAGCAGAATAAGACAGGAAGTAGCATTGGTGGTATTGGTATTGGTACTGTAAGAGACACATGAATAATTTCTTAAGGGGCTTCATTGCATGGCAGGATTACTAACAGTTGAGAAGGAACTCAACAGGAAACACATCATGTGGGGTGAGTCTTTTGAGATGGAACTTAGGAATGAATAGAAGTATTCAAGGGAGAGATAATGTATGGAGGAGCTCCAAGAAGAACAAACATTAGCAAATGAACCAAAGGAAGTGAACATGCTTGGAAAGTATAGACTGATCTCATTTGTATTCCAAAGTGCAGGCCAGAAGGGGATTCTTAGACGATAAGGATGGAAAGGTACATGAATACTATTAGGTTGCACCATATGAAATGGATAATATTTTATTCTTTTTGAACTACAAAGAAAAAATTTTATTCAGTTCAACCTAATACATTGTCAGCAGACCTCAAATGCCAAGTTGAGTAGGTTTTGTTTTTCAGTATTCGATGGGAAGCTATTGAATGTATATTGAATAAAAGACCATTATGACCTCAACTGCATTTTAAGGTGACTTTTTTTTTATAGCTGGGTGAGATAAATCAGAGCTGTGTGTGAGAGAATGTTGAAGAAAGCATCACTTTGAAATAATTGAGGAAAAAAATGAAGGCTCAAAGAGACTGTTGATTGTGGGCCTGAAACAAGAGGTCATGACCATGAACGATGTTTTTTGAGCCTAAACTTATGCACAGAGAATAACTAGTCCTTGCTCAGGAGGGAGAATGAAAAGCAGGACTCTGTGGTAACTCTAATGTTTGAATTTGATAAGTGGAAAAGTGAAGAGAGAAAGATAGCTAAAAGCTGCTTGAGGAAAGAAGCCCTCTTTTATTTTTTTTTTTATATCCATGGTCTTAGCAGCCTACCTATTAGGTAGTAGCAGTCAGCAAATGCTGGCTGAATCAATACTTACTGATTCACGGGGCACATCCCATGCCATTCCTGCCCTCATGGAACTTTCCTTCTCGGGGCGGGGAGGCGGAATAATCAGTGGGTAAACTAATTAAATGAAAAGATTACTCAGGCAGCTGTGCAGAGAATGGATGATGAGGGGGTAAGAATAGATGCTGGGAGATAAGCTTTTCAAACTTTGCAGCAGAGAGGGATCAAGTGAGACCTTACTAAAGTGCAGATTCAGAATCAGTAGGTCTGAGGACAGACCTGAGGTTCTTCAATACGCTACCAGGTGATACTGCTGCTTCTGGCCCATGGACCATGCTTTCATGAGCGGTTGAAAGGCGAATGTCCAGAGAAGAAATATTAGAAGTGACTGGAGAAGTTATTGTGAGCAAGTCCAGTGTGAGCCCTCCTCTTCCTGCAGCAGTAAGAACTGCATGCTTTTCAACCTCTTTGATGGTGAGAGAGAGAATTGTTCCTCTTCTGAGTCATTTCAATTCCAGCCAGTTGTTTTATGAAAGATCCATTAAACCAGC